GGGCGGCTAGAGTCTGGAACCAGCTTCCAAGTGAGGTGGTGCAGGCTCCCACCCTGGGGGTTTTTAAGAGGAGGTTGGATGACCACCTTACTGGGGTCGTTTGACCCCAGTGCTCTTCCTGCCATGGCAGGGGGTCGGACTAGATGATCTGCTCAGGTCCCTTCCGACCCTAGAAACTATGAAACTATGAAACTATAGTACAGAATATAAAATCTGGCAGTCTGCTTTAATAAATCACTCACTCCAGTTGTATTTCTTTTCTTTGAGTCATTCTGTGATACCTTGGATGTAAATATAGCAACAAACAGAAAGGGAAAACAGTTAAATAATTTAGAGTAGGTGAACTTACATAAACAATCACCTTTGTTTGTTTCTCTGCAGAAAGAAAGGAAGTGAAGGTGGGAGAATATAATGCTGTAGCTGACACATTGGAAATAATCAACAACACCATCAGGTTCCAAGGTAGGACAAGAAACTGAAAAGAGGCACAAAATTACTTGGATTACTCACAGAGGATATGCTGTATAGAGAGATGTTTTAATATTGTGCAACTAAAAATATTCCTATAAAATTGTGTGAGTGATTTCAGAGATGGTCTAGGGCCACTTCTTTATATTATGTGTTTTATTTTCTTGGGAGCAACAACATGAGAGGTCTGAGCAGCACGTAGTAAAACTTCAAATGTATTTTATTGTGTTGGTAGTCTCCTTTCAACACTTATCATCGTTGATATATGTGAACGGATAATTTTCATTGTTTCAGTTGGCTTCAGAATTTATTTTCTCTTTTGTCACACCTGAATTTTATACCTGTGTTATCTCCACCAGCCCCTCTCATTTGACCACTGCACTAGTACATTGTATATTTATAAATAAAGGAACTTACATTTCCTCTTTGGCTGTGCCTAGACTCCAGTCAAAAGGTATATTGCAGCATTAGTAGAAAAACCTGAACCTACCCTTACTCCAGCTACAATGGCAGTGAAGACCCAGCAGTACAGACTTAGTATGGGCTAGGAATATGTCTTGAATATGTCTCTAGCATCCATCCCAGGCGTATATGCATGGCTTGTGTTGCCACAACTTCATGGCTTTTGTCAACTGAGCTGGTTAAATTCAAGCTAGCATAGGTATGCCAACCCACCCTGCAGTCATGCTTCCACTTGTAGGGCAGAAGGACCCACAATCTTTTTGAGTATACAAAGATGCCAGCTGTCATTTTAATATCTTTAGATGCTTTTCAGAAATGAATTAAAGGTCTTTCCTGCTGCTAATAGGTGCAGGGTGCTAATGGTGATGGTCTAATCTAGGGCCCAGCTACAGTTTCTTTGTGCTGCTCTGGATCCCCAAGTAACATTAGTCCTGGCTTAAAAGATTCTCTGATAATTCCCTCCAGCATGAGACAATGGTTGGGTATAGAACTGCAGTTTCTGGTCCTATGCCCTGTCCTCCTTGCAGCCTTTCAGCAGAAGGGTATATCTTCTGTATTATATTTTTATCCTGTTCATCATTGCCTTCCTAGTCGTCTGAAGGACTTCGCCTTCTAGGAAATACATGACCCCTTCATTAAAACTGGGTAGGCCTTTGAGGCATGACATTCCTCATGGATTGCTCTTACCTTCAAGGTATTTTAGTTCAAAAGCACGCTGCTGCCATTTCCTGCATGCTGACACACATTTTGCCACTTATATAACTGCATGCTACACAGCGAAGTGCACATCTGCTCGCAGGCGGAGCAGACTCTGTTAACTGAGTCTGCTCCCACCTGCTGGATCTTCAGTGCATTGCAGGACAAAAAGGTATGTGTATAAATGCCTAGTATGCCTGTAGGGAATTACCCTAAGATAAATAATAACATAATGAAAGCTTAAAAAACGTTTCAGTTCATGTCTTTATCACTACCATATGTTACAGTAGACTATGCTATATAACTCATTTTGATCAAAACTGAGGTCATGAATAGGTGTTACATTTGTGCTGGGAGAAAAGCCTTTCTCCTGACACATGAGAGTATACAGTTGTTCAGGGGATTTCAAGATGAGGCTTTTGCCAGGGGAGGAGAACTTTGCAATGTCTGAAGTATTAGGGTTTAACCGCTTAAGATGAAATCCACTTTACTCACCAAAAGCTGATGTATTCACCAAGGTTATATAATAGGAGAGTTCAAAGTATCTGGGGCATGAAGTTTAGCTGGGGTTGAGAAAAATTTACATCAGCTATTCCAGGAAGTTGTGTGGGTTTCTGTGACCATTGGGTCCATATGGATAGATATATTCAACACTCTTTTTTGGTCTGCCCTAGTCTACACCAGTGTGGATTTCTGCACAGACCTATAGGAAGTAAACATGGAAATCTTTTTCACAGGAAAGTGACACTCAGGCATCAGACCCGCACTGCAGGGCTTTCAACAGCCCTTTTGCGTGCTGGTGAATTTCACCAGAAGTGCTTCAGATATGGGAGCAAAGAATATAGAGAACTGTTACACTGGCTACGTATAGACAGTCAAAAAGCCCAAGGCTGAATTGATTCAGTCTTTGCAAGTTAGTCTAAGCAGCAAAGATTGAACCAATAAGCAAATTAACAGACATTCATTTTTGATGCAAGAAATGCAGCCACATGCCTGCAGTAGCTCAAGCCAGAAACTGGAGGGAGGGGGTACTAGAGCATGGCTGTCTGGCACATAGCCAACATAGGCTGTGTGTTTGCTGCCTTATCCTGCTGCCCCTGAGGTCTCTGGGATTTGTAGTCCCCAATCACAACAGCAGGACCCTGCAGGGTTGCTCATCACTTCCTCTTCCTACTTCCAGGTGCCTCTGGGATTTGTAGTCAACAGTCACAGCCAGCAGAAAGTTGCAGCTAGCAGGGCAGCTCCATACTCAGGGGAATGGGAGTTTAACCCCATTCCCTGGCCCCAGACCCCAGCTGGGGTTTGCCTGGGAGGCAAGTGAACCTGCCAGTGACTCAGCCCTCACTGTTCCAGCTAGGGAGCAGAGGGGTGAGGCCAGCCCTGCTTTCTGGAGCAGACAGCTGAGCCCAGCCCAGCCCAGCTCAGGGCTGCAAAGTATTCTGGGATACTAGAGCACTGATTTACTTTGAACCAGGAAAGGGTCTGGGACAGAAGTTTCATAAACCACTTTCACCCAAATCAATTCAGTTTGACACAGGCAGGCAAAATTATTTAAATAGATGTGATATCTTTTATAAACCAACTGAGTAGTTGGGGGAAAGTTCTTAGCAAGTTTTTGGGTACAATCACCCTTCTTCAGGCATAAGGAGTCTCCGCAGGTTTATCTTAAACCAGTTTCAGCCATTCTGAAAATGGTTTATATGTATTGAATTTCTGTTCTGTTACAGGTTTAAATCAGTTTCTGATCACTTAAACTGGTTTATGTGTGACTTCTGTCCCTAGCCATTGTCTCAAACATAATTCTCTTCATCCCCACCTGGCAGGAGTAGAAGGCAGTGACTTTGCCAAAGCATCTCCCCATTAAAAGGGCTTTTAAGCTCATACATGAAAACCTGCATTCTCCCTCTTACTAAGAGCAGCACAAGAAGGCTGTGAAGCCATTGGGTTTGCCCAGCACTGCATGTTTTTGAAGGTCTGTCCTATGTGAACCTTATCAAATGTTGTTCAGTGCTAGAAAAACAAATGCTGCCTGAGCACATTGGGCAAATGTTGTAGTGACTACTTTGACTATACTTGGGCAAATTACTTTTACATTGTAAGGATTTTAGGATTGGGCCAGGTGTCCATTTCTATTCACTTTACCCCTGATTCAGAAAAGCCTGTTACCTCATGCCTTTCTTTAAAATTATATCATATGCATAAGTGCTTGTTTGACTTTCTGAGTAAGGATAGACTTGAGAACTTTCCATCTTTCTGAAAAAGATGTTGTAGCATTCCTGAAGCACAGTCTTTTTATGACTACCTCATGTGTCTCTGATGAAAGAAACAAGTTTACATCAGCTATAAACCTGCTGTGGGTAATAACACTGAGGAGTTTTCTCAGAAGTATCTTACATCTATATATGCTTAACTGTACTTCTCTTTTTGAAATTTTAGGAGTAGAGCCTCCAAAGGACAAAACCATTATCCAAGAACAGCTGCGAAAGATTTCTTTGCCTCTCTACAGTATTCTCTCAGCCCTTACTATCCTAGGGATGATCATGGCCAGCGCTTTTTTGTTCTTTAACATCAAAAACAGAAACCAGAAGTAAGACATTCACATTACTTATCATTTTTGTTTTCATAATGAATTATCACAGTTGTGAAGACAAGCATTATACATACTCTATGAAGAAAACTTCAAGGACATATATACACGTGCTCTGGGATGGAGAGGGGGGCACTTTAATTAGAGTGGTTCTCAGACCACCCACAATTCTGAGAGCTGCTGTAATTAAAGCGCCTACAGTATCACGTGTATTCAGCATCCCACACTTCAAAATGTTAGTGCAGGCACTTTAAAATGCCCCCACCTCCATTTTGAAACACAGAGATGTTGAATACACATGACGTGGAGGCTGCTGGAGTGTGCTAATTAGCAATCGATTAATTGAATCTGCTCCAATGTATGCTAATTAGCACACATTGGATTAGAGGTCTGTCATGTGTATAGATGCCCAAAAGCTTTGGGAAGGGAATACAAAAGATTCTGTTTGTTTTAATTGAAGTTATTGTATAACATCTCTATGTTGGGACAATTTAGCTATCCATTTAACAAATCTTTGTCTTCCGTCTAAAAAGATGATTTATTTTCAACATATTAGCATAAACCCTACCTAATTAATCAATGTGTAAGGTAGGTGGTGGATTTGATATAGGCGATCAAAAACATTTAACAATAATATGCTTATCCAGCCTTCATCTGCATGCTTCCAGATTTGAAGCAGAATTTCACAAGTAGGATTGGCCATCTGCCTTATCTGCTAGCCTTCTAAGAAACTCTTCATTATGTTTTTAATAGCATAACAGTTCTCTTTTCCTTTTATAATATCCTATCTGCTTTTGTCCGTAGGCTAATAAAGATGTCCAGTCCCTACATGAACAACCTTATTATCCTTGGAGGAATGCTTTCCTATGCATCAATTTTTCTCTTTGGTCTTGATGGATCTTTCGTCTCTGAAAAGACATTTGAGACACTTTGCACAGTAAGTATTCCACATAACCTAGCTTAAGACCTCTTGCAAGGAGCTTTGTTTTGTGCAAAAAGAAACCCTGAGCACACTTGTTACATCTACAGCTCTGTGAACTGGCCCATTTTGTCATTAGCGCTCTTATTCCTTTTTCTAGGACTTACACAAGCCTGGGACTAAATCCTGAGAAGTGCATAGATAGCACTGCAGTGAAGTCTGTAGAAGCTAAAGGTGCTTAGAACCTCTTAGTATTTGAGTCATGGCAATTGATTTTAAGTATAACTGCACTTCAAATTTTGAAGTTATGTATGTGAAAATTATTTACTGACGATAACCTGTGTAGAGCAGCAGCTACTCAGACCATGAAACTGTTATGGTTTTCTTAGAATACAAGTTTTCATTGTAGATTTAAAATTATATATTGTTACATGACATTTGAACAAGAATGCCTGGTGTTAAAAGGATGACATTGTTATAATGGGTAGTTTGAAACCTTGGTATAATAATGAAAATCAAAGGGACACTGTGATACCAGGGTGAAAATTATATGGGCATGGCAGAAGAGGTCCTGAGAGAGAGAAGGGGAACAGAGTAGCACCATATGTTAAAAAGAAATAGTCAATCAAGGTAAACATTTTAATGAAACAAAAAGTACCAGAGAAATTCTATAAATAGAAATTCTTTGAATAGTGTTAGGTCTGTAGTATTGACCACCTCACCTATTAAAAGGCATAATGAAACACTAAATGAAATTAAGAGGCAAGATAGGAGAATACCCAGTAATAATGTATGATTCCAGTTATCGTCATAGGGCTCATTCCGATGAGCATGCATGTGCAGTTTTTGGCACCTCAAAACTGGTTGAGACATTGCAGACTGCATAGGCTGCATGTGCACTCATTCACCGTGCTGTTAATTTGCAGCACAATGGGGTTTTTTTTGACACTGGGAGATCTTGGTATAGAAAAAAACCACCTCTAAAAAAGCAGTGTGGAAAACACTGGCTGCCTGCTAGGCTCCAAGTGGTCAGCTCAGTGCCATTGCTGCCCCAAGAGGCCCCCAGGACAGGCTGCTGTGCTGGCCCCAGCCTCCCTTACCCCACCTGGGGCAATTTGCTGTATGCTGGAGCACACATCCTGGAGCATTCCCGTGAACAAATAGATGCAGATTTTGATTTAGTCCTGAGTACCACAAAGGACCAGGTTCAAAAGATGACAAGAGATGAGCTTCTCTGGAGGAGTGACTGTAATGTAGTAAAATTCAACATCCAGGAGGAAATAAGCACCTCCCCCCACCACCAAAAAAAAAAAATCACCAAAGCAATATTGAACCATAAAAGGGGGAATTACAGAAAAATGGAACCTAGTTAAGATGAAATTAAAAAGCATAGTCAAGAGGGTAAAAATGCCCACAGGCAGCACAGAAACTGTTTAAAAATGCCATATTAGAAGCTCAGAGTAAATGCATAACACAAATCAAAAACGACATTAAATGGTTCTAAAAGAGACAGTGCAGTTTAAAAGCAGAGTAAAGGAGGTTGTTAGAGTCAAAAAGACATTCCCATACCAGGTTCATTCATTTTAGGGGATAAATCGGAAGAACAGATACAAAATTAGGTGACAATAAATGAGCTTTTATTGCAAATTGAAAAAATGAACGGTCATAAGCCACCACAATCAGATGGCAAAGATCCAGGAGTTCTGAGGAAGCTCAAATATGAAATTGCAGAACTGTTAACAACAGTACTGTCTATCACTAAAAGGACACTTGGGGCCAGAGGACATGAGGTTTATCAATGTAATATGAATCTTTTGGCCCCAGAGGTATTAGGGAAATACAGATTAGTGGGTGCATTTACACATTCATTAATGCACCATAGTTACAGTGCATTAAGTTTAGTACTTGGATAACCAAGTACTAAATCAACGTGCAGTAATTGGTGCTACTGCAGAGTAACACTGGTGCGCAGGTTTTTACAGGTGCTAACTGCACAGTAGCTTGATACTACTGCACAGTAACATATTAGCATGAGTTTTGCCCAGCACGCTACTGCGCAGTTATGAGGCTACTGAGCAGTTAGCATCTTGTGACAATACACCCAGTAAGTCTAACTTTTGCTACCAGAAAATTCATACAATCACTGACACAAATAGAAAAAGTAGCCTGCGGCAGGGCACTGTTTGTGCCTGCCACTTTAAGACCTAAGCCAAGCAGCCATCAGGTTCTTGATTGCAGCAGCCATTTTAGATTCAGGGCTGCCTATATAAGCAGAGCATTTTGCTGCTGGCAGGCCAGGCAGCAACATTGCGTGGCTGCAAGGTTTCATGGAACACCCTGGAAGTAAGGGAGGAGCTGTAGGGGGTGGCTTGGAGGCTCCTGGTCCTGGGCATGACCTAAAACTGCACCCTGCCAGGAGTGGATGGCCTGGTGGGGTTCTCAGTGGTGCGGGAGCCCCCTGGAAATGCCAGGCCAGTTACCACCCTGGTGAAAGGCAGGTCAGGGTGCCTTAATAACCCTAGCTCCCACAACTGGGTGGGTTACCCCATAAAAGGGTCAGGAAGGATATGGGGATGGTTCTTAATGGGGTAAAACTGAGAAAAGAGGTTGAGTCATGCAGGATGTCCTGAAGTTCACTGAGGATATGATCCAATGTCTATGGAAATCCTTGCAAAACTTCCTGTTCATT